CCCATAATAAGAGTCCAGGCAGCCAGTAGGAAACAGTGCAGACATTATGTCCTCATTACTGAAACATGGCATTTCTGGACTGTGTGCACTTCATTAACATAATTGCCAACGACCTGTTTTCTGCTACACTGAGAAGTGGAGTAAAACAACCGATGGAACTCTAGATTTTTTATCTGATCTTCGAACCTGCGCACGGACTCAATGCAGCCTCTATTATCTCCAGACATTGACAATGCAACAACAAAAAAGGAAAACTAAAGGCTTGCGAGATATCTGATACAAGCATAGAATTCCAAAGCCTTTCCCACAGTGAAGACAAAATGCGAAAAATAATATTGCGTTTGATATAGCGCTTATCACATCATTCAGATGCCTCAAAGTGCTTCACAGAATGTATTGTAAAGTGGATTGACTTGTATTTTATGGGCGAAACATAAAATGTAGAATCCAGTTTGAGCTGAATTTTTCCAATTATTTTCAAGTTTTTCACACTGTCTAGCAACCCCTCACCCCCAACACACACACATCCTGCAAGTACTATGTAATGCATAGTAAATGAGCAAGTTTTAGACAAAGGCTACTTTCTCCTGGTTGGTTGGTGCCATTCCCAATCTCTGGCAGCAGATGAGCATTATTCACTGCTAGTAACGTCACCGATCTCTGGGTGTGCGCAATTAATGGGGTTTCAAACAAAATTTAAAAAATCCGTAAATTCATTGACATTGCAGAATTATCACTCGAAGCGTAATTCATTTACTCACTTTAAACCATCAAGTGATTTTATTTTAATCAATTTTATTTTATAAAGCAGTCTCCATAAACCTATAGATGAATGTAAAATATACAGTTGAATGTGAACAAGACTGAAGCCCACCTGTTTGGCTCGTGCTGGCGCCTCAGCACCTCAGGCTCTGGCAGCATCAACCTCCACGGTTGCACACTACAACTCACCAGCCAGTCAGGAACCTAGGTGTCTTGTTCGACCTTCAACTGTCTTTTCTTCCCCACATTCAAGCCATGACCCACTCTGCCTTCCCTCACCTCCATAACATCGACCGACTCTGCCACTACCTCACCCCTCAGGCCGATGAAACTCTTGTTCGTGCCTTTATCACCTCCAGGCTCTACTATGCAAATGCCCTGCTTGTCGGCCTTTCCAACTCCTCCCTCCACAGGCTGCAGATAATCCAGAACTCTGCAGCCCGTGTCCTCTCCCGCACCAAATTCCGTGAGCCCATCTCCCCCACTCTCGTCCGACTCCACTGGCTCCCTATCCTTCAGAGGATCCAGTTCAAGATCCTGGTCCTCACCCACAAAGCCCTCCATGGTCTCGCCCCACTCTACCTCTGTGACCTCCTAACCTCCTAACAACCAGCCCGCTCCCTCCGCTCAGCTGGCTCTGGCCTGCTACACGTCCCCCGACCCACCTGCCCCACCATTGGTAGGAGAGCCTTCAGCTACTCTGCCCCGAACCTCTGGAATTCCATTCCCCAGTAACTCCGCCTCGCCCCCTCCTTAGCCTCCTTCAAGTCCCGCCTCAAGACCCTCCTCTTCGACCATGCCATCAGCCACCCCCCTTCCCCTCCCTTCCCCCCACAACCCGGGTCTGAAGTGCTGTACACTGTCCAGCACCTTGGGACGTCCTCCCGACGTAAAAGACGCTATACATCTTGTTGTTGTTGTAGATGAGCTTTCTATGTCAGTGTTTTATCAGAATTCCACATGGCAATAATAGTGTTGAGTGTCAGATTCTCATAAGTAAGATTGTTTTAATGTTAACTAACTGCTGCTTAAGATTAGCATAAATAGTTATTACCTTCCTATCTATCTAAGAATACAACTTATTTTCCAGCTTCATTAAATATTTTTATAATATATTTTAAAACTAAAAAACCTATTTCGGAAATTATGGAAGCTTTGTATTTACTTTTCAGCTCAAATAACAGTGGTATTATTCATTGAGTAGTTAAGCCATATAAGACTGTGAAAATCCTCAGTCTGTGCCAAGCTATGATCTTAGCTGGGGTACAGACAGATAGGGAGGCTACAATTGACCTCAGTGCCCCACGTTAGGGAGAAAACTCAAATCAGATTTCTTGCTGCTGACCACTAACCAGTGATCCTTGCTGGAAGTGTGCATACATGGACATTGGGCAAGGTTAGGCTCATCTCTGAAACACATCCACAACTGAATGGGTTTGCTAACCTTCATGCTTGGGGTTACAAATTTATGATGACCATGGTGCAAGGTAACATAAGGTAACCAAAGCTCAGTGACCTGAAGGTTAGGGAGAAAGATAAATTTAAATTATATTGTTTAAAAAAATGTTCAAATGTCTTCAACAGAGGTAATGCAAGAATTCAAGGGAGATGGGTTAGAGCAAAGATAAAGCAAGCAAATAACACCGGTATGCAAGAAACCAACATCCACTTATAACAGATCAGTGTTAAAATCTACAGCCAACAGTCATTGTGACAATGAAACATGTCTGACATAGCTCAGAAAATACGGTGGTCTGTGAGAGGAACAACCAACGATTAAGAGACTGCGATAATAATAAACCTTGCATTTGATATAGTGCCTATCACATCTTTGAGACGTCTCAAAACGCTTCACAGAATATACTGTAAAATGAATTGACTGTACATTTTGTGGGCGAAATGCAGCAAACAATTGTGCACAGTAGTGTCCCACAAACAGCTGTTCGCAATTGGCTGCCGCGTTTCGCCCAAAATATACAGTCAATTCACTTTACAGTATATTCTGTGAAGCGTTTTGAGACGTCTCAAAGATGTGATGAGGCGCTATGGCAAATGGAAGGATTATTATTATTATTATTGAGTGACCAAATTATTATTATTTTTGGAGAGAGTATTACCCCCGGAAAAGCAATCCGCCAACCGGTTCTTACTTACTGCTAGATGAACAAAGAGATATGGAGTATGGAAACTTGCTAAACGTTTCGTCTGGGAATCAAACCTAGGTCCTCTCGCTTGTGAGGCGAGTGCTCTAACCACTAAGACACATGCCTCGATATAAGCTTTACACATTTCTCTCAAAATTTGCCTTGCTCTGATGAACGCAAAATTTATTAATTTGAAAGGGAACCAAGGAACTCAGCATCGTGGCCTAGATGGGCACTGAGCCCTGAATGTGCACTTTACAGAAAAAATACATTAAGTTACAAGCGAACCATTAGAGTTGGCAGCAAAGTGTTCTTATCCCAACTAGATGGCTGAGGGAGTCAATCCCTCATGTGTGCTTGCTTGTCACTCCAATCTGCCTGCTATTTGGGATAAGTGGAGTCCTGTAGCTCAGTGGTTAGAGCACTCGCTTTGCAAGCGAGAGACCTGAGTTCAATTCCAGGCAGGGCGAAACCTTGGGCAAGTTTCCTTACTCCACACGCCTAATAATAATCCCTCCAAAAAACCCAAAACAATAATAAATTGGTCATTTTCAATCTACGACTGTTTGTGGGACATTGCTGTGCGCAATTGGCTGCCGCGTTCGCCCACAAATATACAGTCAATTCACTTTACAGTATATTCTGTGAAGCGCTTTGGGACGTCCTCCCGACGTGAAAAGCGCTATATATCACAATGCAAGGATTATTATTATTATTAAGTGTTAGCAGTTGTTGGCCAGAATGGCAGCTGAAGGACTGAACCAGAGATTGGTTCATCCTGCCAAAGGGTGTCTGCTACCCAGAAGACGTTGATCTCCTGGACAAGCCTATATATCCAAGCAAAAGTACAAAACTAAGCAACATTTTTGGTTAAAAATGGAGACTTCTGAACTAAGCAGATCGGTTATCACAGGATTATTCATTTAGACTACAATCATTTATACTCCAATTAATTTAACTTGGAAACTTCGTAAGGTTTTTCAAATTAAGTCTCCAAATAAGTCAATTTCCACCAGCTGCTTTCTTTCATTAAACAGCCTACTTGCAAGTCCTCAGCATCCTCTGAAATAATTTATGCAAGTTCTTCCAAAGGGATTACATCTCACCATTGAAATGAATGTGTTATGTACATAAGAGCGCACAAAAATGGTCTGATCTGCCTGCGAGGCATTGCAGGAAAAGCATCAAGTGAAGAGGGTTTAGAGCTGGCACTGTGGTGGTTGCACTGTTTGGTTGAGGCTAGTAGAAGGAAACAAATGCATGCTGAAACAAGGCGAACCAGATGGTTTTGTCAAACAAGCTGAGGGAGCTCAGCTTGATTCAGTTGCTTCTGTGTGACCTGCTGTATAGCAGACTGGTCCGATCATATGAAATCCAGTTTTCAGAACAATGACAATTGCTTACTGAAGCAAAAGTCAGCTCTCGAATGACACCAAGTGATGTTCCAATGGAAAGGAATGACAGCTCAATAACAACAAATTAACAACAAATTACAAGGTTGGAGGAACGGACTGCCATAAGCTGAAAAAAAAGTTTTTTTGCAAAAATAAGGAAACTGTGAATAGGTTTTCAAACCCCTAAATATCCTTTGAAAACTGTCAGATCTCTCTGGCTGGTCTCAAAGTGGTGAGTAAATGCAGTGTGCCAACTGTGCTTAGCGTTGCTGCCTAAACTCTTCACCCTCCACCATCACCTCCCAATTCTTACTGTTGTAATGAATCATGATTACAACAGTAAGAATTGGGAAGAGCGTGTCAACAGGGAATTAACCCAAAAGTTCTCAATACTGAAGCGGTAGAACAGTTGCTGAGGTGCTAGCTCTGCCTACTAGCTTGGCCAAGCAAAGTAAAACAAAGAGGACTGCTTTCTTTTGGCCTCACTCCAATAAATAGCCTCACAAATTCCATTCAGTTAACAGCTAAAGCAATACCTTAACTGCTTTTGAATGCAGTATTGAAGATTCGCTGGTTAGAAATGTGCCCCTCAAACCATCACCAGAATAACACGCAGGCCTCTAAAGAGCACAGTAAGTAAGCACCAGTAGCAGTTAGCAGCTTAAACCAGTTCCATCCTCGCTGTAAATTCTCCCTTCACCTTTCAGTCCTGAAGACACAAAGATCATAAGCTTGCTTGTTCCTAGCCTGCGAGCGAGCGAGCACGCAAGCCACTGAGATGGAAACTTATTTTAAAATGAGGACTCTGGATCTTCCCTCCTGATCAAAGTTCATCAATGAGCTCATTGAAGACAAGTGCGGGTGGGGCGGGGGGTGTAGTTGTGCCAAGGTGCTGCGAATGAAGCTGTAATAAAACTACTGAATAACTTAATTTATTTCTCTGGCACCAGGACAAGTATTGTGGCTGATCCAATTTCAAACCACAACATTAGTCAGTGAGTGGAGCAGGCTACCCAAACCGTTTGCTTTCAGAAGTGGCCCCGATGTATAAAAAGCTCTCGTCTGTTAATGTTTGCTTTAAGGTCACACAAGACAAACACAGAGATGTCCCAGATGGTAAGCGCTGCACTAACTGGAAAGAAAAGGGGCAGGGGTGCCTTTCTTGGTCTGCTCACAGTATGCCATCAATGTTTAGGAGATTTGGAAATCCATAATGACCATAATAATACTTGCTTTGATATAGCGCCTTATCACTTTGTCAAGGCATCTCAGAAGTGCTTCACAAAATTTTACTGTGAGTCTGTAGTGACTGTATTTTTAGATCATATAGCATCCCATTTGCGTATATCAGTGTCCCACAAACAGCCACACAAATATCAGATACAATATCCTCACTGAGGTTTCAATGGTTGACGGTATCTTCGGTATCTTTTTTCGTTCATCGAGGGGATCAACAATATTTTTCATAGAATATTGAAAAAGTTTTTTTTAACTATTTAGATGGAGAAAAGGCTCTTGCAGCCATGTATCATTGTTGTTCTGAGTAAGTTATCTGATTTTGCAGTCATAGCAATGCAGTTGTGTTTGTAAACAAATCCAAAAAGATATGTCAAATACTTATTAATCATGAACACAGTGCCCTTTTAACTAGATTAGGTTATAAAAAGAAGCCCTTTCAGTAGCAGAGCCTTTTGGAAAAAATGCAATCCTGTTTCCGTTGCTTGTGTTATAGGCATTGCTTTGTGTTCAGGATTCACCATTTCGCAACTAAAATTTCTTGGGAAATAAAAAAACCTGCAGTGCTGGGAATCAAACAAAAATAAATGTAGGAAATCCACAACAGGTCAAACAGCTTCTAAAACAGGAAGATCGTTTAAAGTTCTGGGTGTATCATTTCAGTGAGCAGTCATTGAAAGGGGATTGGTCCAGTTATCAAAAAACATTGCCCACACTTTTTTGTTGGCATGGAGACAGCTGGAATATACCACTTGCAACTGATGCGATCGAAGCAGGTCATTGTATCACATGGGTCTAAACAAATATAAAGGATTTGCCAAACTACCATGCAGGTGGTTTGGCTTTAACCATTCCATTGGGGTTGATCATTTTAAGTTATAATAGGGGAGAAAATTACAAGCCTCGCACTTTATCACTAATATTAGATTTTTAATTAGAAAATCAGTTTGGGCTCAGGAACAATAACAGGTAAGTGTGGCATTTACTACCAGCTATTAACAACGGTAAGTACAGTGCATCGCAGTAAATGAAAAGTCAGGTACTGCTTACACTTGAATGAACATCTAGGCCATGGATGCATAAACACTTAAAAGCATTAAAACCTGCTCTTTACTCAGCTGGAGGTTTTCTCGCAGGCAATGGAGGAGCTGTTGAATTCCACTAGATGCATTTTTAATATAAACTACCAGCAATAGTCACCATGAGTTGTGCCCAGTGTTGACTTGTACTTCACAGTTCTGGTCTATCACAGCCATCATATGGCGAAAGCTGAGACTTGCAAAATGCACTTAGCTGTCAAGGCAAAGGCAGATGTGCCAATTATAATTGCTAAAGAGGAACCTTGCAGAGCTGCATAATAGAAGGTAATGTGACTAGATAGGGCTGCCTCTTCCAGTCTTCAATCTTGTACCTATTCTCTTCATGCTCCAGCTGACAGACTGAAGCTTCCCGAACCTGATTAAGAAATGTATTGATTTAGTTTGTCACAAAGGAGCAATCAGCCACCAGAGAACTTGCAAATATGCTTTTTTATTAAAAATGAAGAAAACAAAGCCTATAAAATAAGGAATCGTTCACAAGGCTTAATTCGTTCTGCACGCAAATAAAAGCAGTACACACACAAATGCCTTTTCTAAATGCATAATCAATAAAATCACTTGCTGGCTGCGTAGATAGCAAGGATCAAGGTGCACTATCCCCAGTGTAGTCAGTCATCACACAGGCAGGCGCTAGCTTAATGATTTAATCGAGTGCAAAACTAGAAGATTTCCTCAGTGAACTAAGAGATGCTTCAGGAATATGCAACATCAGCAAAGCGACATCTAAACCTGCACAGATTGGCTTACGGACCATCCCAAACCAATCCAAATTCCTTGTGTTTGGGTTGCTGGTAGAGGTAAGGAACTAGCTCAATCTAATCTGAAAGATAAACCTACTCAGTCACAAAGTGAGGGGCAGTCGCAATCGCTACGGTCTAGAGAGGGAGTGGACTGGTTATAGTTACTGACACTCTCAACTCTAACCCCAATTTAGCTTGTTCCAAGGCCAGCATTAAACAAACTGCCCCAGGCAAACACCTTCTCGACTGCAGAAAACTCCAGGAGGCTCAGACAAGTTGTTGCTAGCAGACGGACTGAGGCCTCTTGAACCAATAGGATATTCCTGGTACAAGCTTTTAAGTTTTAAACTAACTACAGATTATGTTTATATACACAGAAAGAATCACTACACATGTATTACGGTGTAGCATAATCGATCCATTTCCAGCTGCATTAACCCATGCTAACGCCCCCCATGATTTCTTGGACAATTTCAAAACAATGTTGTAAGATTCAAAGTAAGCAAGCTCACCTGCACACTGCAGAAATGAGGTTCATCAATACGTGCAACACGTATCAAGGGAACAGCAACAACAACATGCATTTTTATAGTATCCCAGACGCAGGGTAGTGTCCCAGAGTGCCTGACAGTGGCGGAGCACAATGCACAGCTGGAGGGAGGAGATGACCGTAAGCACAGTTGAAACAATGTGATGTAGTTTCAATTTTAAAAAATGAACCCATAACTTAACTCCTCCTTCTGCTGCAGTTAAAAGCCATCCAGATTAATATGAATGGATACATAACCTTCAAATTGTTGTTGAACGTCATCCAGTTATTGAGTTAAAACAAGTTTGTTTCTTTTTTAAAAACATTTTTGCTCACTATTAGATGGCTGTGAGGGAGGGCGCACTCTCCGTGAGATGTTTTGAAGGTAGCATACAAATCAGATTGTGATTCAGTTGGGAGAGAGCACATACATTGAGAAGATTTGGAGGTGGAATGCAAAATCAGATGTGTGCATGCAAGATCCTTGGGCTGATGGAATACTCTTGGGTTTTTTTCCGGTCTGGACTCCGCTCATGAATGAAGAACGTCTTGGCTTACGAACCATAATTATTTATTTAATGCCCCCATTGTGCAAAACAACGTGCGACCAGGTGATGCACCATTGCTCTCATTTCTGATAACAAGTGAGCCCTAAAACACACACACACATGCACAAAAGAGGTTTCTTTCCTCCTAATAGTCCCATATTTGTCAATAATTAATGAGTGAACCAGGCCACAACAGCTATTTTTTGTTCTTGGTGCCGAATTGCGACCTTCTGTCGCTGCCTTCAGTTGTGGAGGTTTGGGAAGTTCGAAGGCCTCCAGTAAAGCAGTAAACAAAGGAAGCTGTGGTCCCCATTGCTCTAAACGAACCATGTTGCCATCTCTAATGAGCAGTGCCTTCCAAGCGAGGAAAAGACAATCAAGGAGGCACTTAAATTGCAAATGCTGTCACATTCCCATGCAGCACTACACTGAGAGTGACAACTTTGATCAGATAAATGCGCTTAAATACAGCATTGGGTTTGTAAACAATCTTTTTTATGAAAAATGAACATATGAAAAGAAACATTTCTACCTCAGATTATAAATGATTGTCCGCTCGGCTCATAGCGGTCTGAGGAAATAGTGACTGGACTTTTAACAAATGTGGGAGAATACAGAGAAACAAAATTAATATCAATAAGCCATGATCTCCACTGGGAAATCCTACCGCAAACTTATAGATACAATCATTGTACATCTTAGAATTGCCCTTGTATTTTACCTAAGGAAACTTGCCCTTTGTTTTGTGTGGAATTAGGTTTGTACAAAATAGATCAGATACAATTAGACATTGGTAGACACATTGTGGATAGATCCCAGAAATGTCATTAACTCATTCAAAATAAGGCACTGACCACAATGCCTCAGTTGTATCGTGAATGATTGCAAGACACAAAGCCGTGAACAGGTTATGAAGGTCTTTGGCAAAAGTGAAAGAATGATTCAATGTAGAACACTTAGTGGCATATTCTCTTTATCAAAGAGTCACCGTTGGTCTGGAGTTTAATGCACAAAGGTTACTTCCATTCTGGCAATGAGTTTGTATCAGTGGTGTGAAACGTTTATCTTCAGGGACTATAAAAATACCAACAGTATTTTCAAACCATTCCGTCATAGGCAAAAGAAATAGAAGACCAAGGCAACTAATTTACTATAATCCCCAGTTCTGGGAGCTACTTTTCCTCCTATGTTCCTATGTAGTTCAAACAATAAAAACTAAACAAATCAGAATTGATAAAGCCCATCCATTTGGAATACTGTGTTTTAGCCCAAATATCTATTTACATCATAACAATGTTTCCACTCAAGGGAATTAAGGCTGATAAATAATTGAGTTGGAGACAGTACCCAGTTTGTCCTTTGCTCACTGCCTATGATATATATCCCTGTTTGTTTAGTTAGTCAGTATCCATACTAAAGATTTCCACATATGCATGCCACCACGAAATTTCCCATTTGTCTAGTATAGACTGAACTCTCTCCACAGAATGACACACTTTGTTTACCTCATTCCAGAAAGTATTAGAAACATGCTGGCAGGAGCTAAAGATGTAAGGTCCCCAGAGTCTGTGCTGAG